AGAATAGAGTCAGTACGGGGTCAGAGAGGCGGACGTTCACAGAAAACCGAGTGAGATCAGATCGCTATCAGGGATGGAATGGTTTGTGAAAACCGTCCGAACCGTCGGGTTCGACTGTCTCAGTTCGATTGGCGTGTGTTGCGTTCGGTTCATGCTGCTGCTTTTTCTCATAGGGAAGCGTGTTCACTCCAGAGCAGAAGGTGGCTGTACTGCGCCCAAAACCAACCACCAGTAGGAAACAAGAAGAAGAAGCGAAGCCGGGTGTAGCAGATAAAAATCAGACCCGCCAGCAGCAGTTTCTAGGTCTGCTGTATGGGACACTTTGCATTTAGAGGGAAGCACATGTTGGAATTAGCACTGTCACCTCTCTTGCAATGCCAGAATCTCACCTGCTTTTAACCTCAGACTGTCACAATAATGGATCAAATGTCAGACTGCTTTTTTCTTTCAGTTTTAACCCGACTATAATTCAATTTCAATTTTCAATACAATTTTATTTATATAGCACCACATCACAACAACAGTTGTCTCACAGTTTTCCAAACAGAGCAGGTCAGACCCTACTCTGAAGTTAATTACAGAAACCCAACAATTCCCACCATGAGCAAGCACTAGGCGACACAGGCAAGGAAAAACTTCCTTTAACAGGCAGAAACCTGGAGCAGAACCATGGCTCAGGGTGGGGGGGCATCTGCCTCGGCCGGTTGGGGGTGAGAGAAAGAGAGGGCAAGAGAGAGAGAGAGAGAGAGAGAGAGAGAGAGACAAGGACAGAGGGAGCAGAAAAGAGGCAGCCAACACAGCAACACGTAGACTAGATGAAAAATGGCAATGATATTACTATATCACTATACAAGACATAATAGATTTTCCTAACAATCAACATATTGTTATTATGAATTATTGAACCGAACCGAAAACCGTGACCACGAAACGGTGAACCGAACCGAACCGAACCGAACCGAAAACCGTGACCACGACACTGTGAACCGAACCGAACCGTGGATTTTGTGAACCCTTCCACCCCTAGTCGCTACGTGCCTGAAGTGTGCGATGGAGACGATGACCAGCAGGTTGAGGGCCACGGTGATGACGGAGATGCTGGAGAGCAGGACGTAGACCAGCATGGCGGCCGTTTCCCGGCGGGCCGGCCTCCGGCAGGAGGAGTTCAGCTGCGGGACGCAGAACTCGGCTTCCTCCAGAG